AGAATGTGACCAACTAGTAAATATTTGTAGTTTTGCCGTACGTTGTGATCGGAGGTGGCCTAGCACTCAATGACACAGGGTTTATACTGGTTTAGGCAACGTGCCCTACGTTCAGTTTGGGTCGGTTGGTGACTTTATTCCTGAGCCTAGGTGCTCAAAGTTTGCAGTGTGGTTACAAACAAGAAGGAGAAATATGGGGTATAGAAGAGGGTCGGTCGGCTCTGATCGAAAGAGCCAAGAGCGACAGGAGCTATGCTATGACCTAAGTGTTCAAGCGTGTGCTTGGGGTATGAACCCGATGGTTCCATGGTTGTGAGCTGATGAACTTGATCGATGATGGTTTTTTACTTAAAAGGACTAAAAGGAAACCCCTTTGTTGGAGGGAGCGCATCCCTTTTTATAGACAAAAGGAATGGCTTTACAAGTGAGAGGGTGAGGGTACATATGTTATTGGGCTGTGTCGCCCATGCTGGTGGGTACAAGATAATGGTAGGCGTCCACAACACTGTTGATGTCACTGTAGAATGTCAGACGCATGTGGGGGGTCGTGTTGCCTTTTTCAGGAATGGTAGATGTCGGTACCTACAAAATACTATTGATGGCTAGAGGCATGTGAGGAGTCTCACCACGTTCACCTGGTACGGTAAATCCCGGCGCCCATAACACTATCGATGCCTAGAGGCACGTGGGGGGCCTTACCGTATGGGAGTTAACGACGCCTACAACATTGTAGAGGTAAATGTCGGCGCCTACAATACTGTTTCTGTTAGGGCGGTTGCAGAGCACTGTTCCCGCAGGTGCTCAGGGTATGGTCTCTGGTAGTGTGGTTTGACTTGTGCGTCTTGCTTTCTCCATTTGTCTCCTGATTCCTTTCGAGCAGGCGTCCCTGGTCGGACGGCTCCAGTCGGCCCTGGTCGCGCCAGTCGGAGAAGAGCGGTGAGCAGGATTTCTGTGAATCCCGATCGAAGACGCGGGGTCGAAGTTGAAAGTAGCACTTTGGGCCAGGCCTTCTAATCGGAGAGGCCGTTCGGAGGCGGCTGGAGTCCGAAGCGAGCGCTCCGGTCGGAGAGGTGGGCCGAAGTAGTCGACGAGCGGGCGCTGTTCCTCTTCGGCCAGACCTTCCGGTCGGTGACTGGACCGCCCTTTCGGCCTGCTGTCCTGGACCCTTGGGCCGGCCCACGAGTAATATGTTGTCTGCTTGGAGCGAGCTTTGGCGCGGAATCCAAGCTCCAACAGACCCCGAGTTTATGAACCCGACACCTATACTCCTGGTTGCTCTAAAAAAACGCCATCAACGTTCGCCGCGCCTTTGGTCCATTCGGCTCGTCAGGTATCCTGGATTCAGGTGACAGAGTTGCACCTGCTCTCTTGTCCTCGACGAAACTGAGCAAATCACTCCCAGCGGCCAGCCATCAGCCTACAACATCACATGTCCTGTTTGTTTGACGTATAAAATGTACTTTTTCGGTCAACAAATAATATTTTTCTTTTACAACAAATCAGTCAGCAGAACTTTCTGCCATGACTTATCAGCCAAGCGGACATGCACTACAGCCTGTTCGGGAGGCCGTATCGTATCATAAATTATTTACTGTTGACTGGTTTAATGTGAGAGAAAAACACTATTCCCGATTAGAAATTTACGATCATTTACGAGCAAACAAATCGACAAATAATGTACAAGTTGTACAAACCTCGCGAGCCGGAGGACTGGGACTTCGAGTCCTCTACACGGCCGACGCCGAAGCCGCCAACCTGCTCAATTTGGCGTCAGGATCGGTGGAGCGCAGAGCAGGGCTAGACCGAAGCGCCGTGCTGTCCTTCCTGTCCTCAAGATGGCAACGGGTACGTACCCGATGGGTACTGGCCACCCGTACCCGCACCCGCCAGATCAAAATCTTACCCGTCGGGTTACCCGTACCCGCAGGCGGGTAGAAAATTCATTCCATACCCGCACCCGACGGGTAATTCTTACCCGACGGGTAATTCTTACCCGACAATATACCCGAGTTCACACACCAAAATATAATAGCTTCCAGCAAAACAAATCAACAATAGAGCAGCAAAACAGAAATATGGGCTGGTGGAGTGTAGTGAGGATGAGGATTAGGGTTTGAGAGAGTTCTAGAATATATATACTCATATGCTTATATGGGCCAAATATGGGCTATATGCTTATATGGGCTAAAATTGCAGAGGTTGGATATTATTTATGCGGGTTTTTTTTACCCGCGGGTATGGGTAGTATACACCCACACCCGTACCCGCATACCCGATGGGTACAAGAATTCGTCCAATAACGTACCCGCGGGTGTAAAATGTCTTCCATACCCGCCTCCTTATCGGGTAAAACCCGTCGGGTACTCGGGTTTCGGGTACCCGTTGCCATCTTGATCCTGTCCTTCGGTCCTTCCTGTTCCCGCAAGGCGTGCCGTGTTTAGTTCACCCCTAATATCCAAAAAGTTGCTACAGTACCTATCACATCGAATGTTTCCGGCCTATGCATGGAGCATTAAATGTAGACGAAAAGAAAAACTAATTGCACAGTTTGGTGAGAAATTACGAGACGAACGTTTTAAACCTAATTAGTCCATGTTTAAACACTATTTACCAAATAAAAATGAACGTGCTACAATAGCCCCAAAATCCAAATTTCGCGAACTAAATAAGGGCAGCTTTGGTCTCTGAATCATTTGCTGTTACAGTACAAAATCCTCTCACTATCGGTGTCAAGGGGGAATTCCCTAGCTCCAATCCCCTTCTCGCTCACTATCAGTATCCATTTCGATTACAGTTCAGGATTATTATCCTTCGATTTCGATTACATTACAGTCTTCGAGTTCTTGCTGGAACACGCTTCAGACAAAGAGGGCCCGTTCGACTTATCCCATATCCAATCGGCTTCTTTTTTCAGTCGAAACAATATTTTTCTTTCACAACATTTCAGTTAGAACAGTATTTTTCAGCCAATTTCAGCTAAGATTCAGCGAGCCGAACGGGGCCTGGCGGGTGTTTGGGACTGCCCCGCTCCACGTTTTTTAGCTCTGCTCCATATTTTTTAGCCAAACGGTTTCAGCTCCACATATTTGTTCGAAGAAAAATGGTAGAGATATGAAAATACCTAAAGAGATACTCCTAAAACTCTAATTAAAGCTGCTCTACGATAGAGTTTAGCGGAGCAGTCGCAAAACGCTCTGAGCGCAGACCGCTCTGTGTCTGTGGAGACCGGAGAACATCTTGCTGGAATGCTGGGGGCTGTTGGGGAAGCCAAGGCGATGAGGCATGAGATCCTGTTCTTCAGAATTCAGAGAGGTATACGAGGACACGCGGAGGGGCTAGCCGGCGAGAGCACCGAGGTGTCGCGCCAGCAACGAGGTAGCCCAACACGTGGGAGGCTTCTAGGATCGAATAGCACGTGAACTCCTACGTTTTCTTTGCGTGCACGGGTGCACAGGTGGCGCCTCCAACGTCTCCTTTCGTCAGTGGTTTGGCCCTTCGGTGTCAATTGGCATTGCTTGCATGGCAAAATTTGGAAGGAATATTGAGGCACGCATAGTCTTGTTAGAAAAGCTGGCACGAAATCTGGATGAACTAAGCCAGATCCCTCACTGTTTTTTGTTTGCTTCCAAGTGTTGTTAATGGCTATTTAGTGAAAATATATTCACTCTCTATCTCTAATCTCTACACTATAAAGTGTTATAGATCGATTTGAATACATTTTATATGATGTTAACAATTTAGACTATGAGCATGGAAGAAAGGCGAGTGGTACAAAATGCAACATTTAATCATGTAAGTGACAAATTATGTTTCTATAAGTAGGGCTAAAACCCTCTTGCGGAAGAAAATTAAATGTAACATTAAGAACCCTTTCATGAAACTAGGCACAGGAGCCCGATGCCTTTTGGAGGCTAGAAACCCTTCTGTAATAAAATATACCACATAGTTTACATCATACTCTCTCCGTTCTAAAAATAAGTATCATTCTTGTTTTCTAAATCAAAGCTTTTAACTTTGACCAAATATGGTCCCGTTCGCTTTGCTGAAAAAACAAGCCGAAACACTGTTCTAACTAATTTGCTGTGAGAGAAAAACGTTGTTCCGACTAAAAAAACAAGCTAAAAAGTATAGATTATAAGACAAGCGAATATGACCTATATATAAGAAAATATATAATTAACATCATTATATTGTTGGATCTACTTTTATAATAAACTTATTTAGAGATACCAACGTTGCTAATATTTTTTACAAATCTAATCAAACTTGATAAAATTGACTAAGATGAATACCACAGGGACACTTATTTTGTGATGGAGGGAGTGAAGTGTTGTGTGGGTAACACATACAATATTTTCACATATGAGCCATGAAATAAATCATGTTATGCTTAGCAAATCCATTTTCAATATAAAATGATATATATAGTCCGTCTCAATAGAGAGTTTCATAGCGTTGTTTTCAAGAATGCCACGTCAAATAGAATGTAATAAATGTATAGTTTTATTTTATAGTTTTATAGATATTTAATTTCATGACTTATTGCAAGTTGTTTACTATGTTAGAGAGTTTCACCCTCGTGAAACTCATTTCTTCTATCTTTTCTAAAATATATGACGTCATGTTATAAAAAAAGCCTAAATAACATCTTATTAAATGCGGATGAAACTTAAAACTCTCACTAACACTTGCCAAAGTAATTTCATCGCTCTCCGGTGTCCAGTCCATACTTATCTAAGCATCTTTACCAATTTAAATTTAGAAAAACTAGATATCTGAATTTTGGGAAACCAGACTTTTTTTTTGAGTAAAAAGAGAAAACAAAACAAATAACTTGAAACCACAAGGTGGTAACAGAAAATACCCGCCCGTCTTCTCTCTTCTCCCACCGCCCGGATTCCTCTCCCTCCACGAATTCTCCTCCCAAATGCTTCGACACCGCCACCTCCTCGTCCCGATTCCGTACCACCACGACCTCCCATCTCACCGATCGCCCGCCCATGGACGCCGACGACCCTCCCGCCACCACCTCCTCCTCTGACGACGACACGTTCTTCGACGCCCTTGACTCGCTCCCCTCCCCTTCGCCTTCGCCTTCGCCTCCCCCTTCCCCTTCCGCTCCCCCTCCCCACACCCCCTCCTCCTCCACGCTCCGCCGCCGCCCGCACCGCGCAAAAATTCTAAAGCAGCCCGACTCCATCCTCTCCCCTCCTCCCTCGGCCTCCGCAGCCACCTCCACCTTGACCGCCGTCGAGGACGAGCCTCTCAAGCCGGATTCCTCCGAGGCCACCAGCGCCGCCCCCCGCACTGTCCCCGCATCCGAGGTGGAGGAGGAGGAGGAAGAGGACCACAATAAGGCCACGGATGCAGATGCGGATGTTGAGGCGGAGGCGCGTGCTCCTACGCCGACGCCGTCGCCGGCCCCGAGCATACTCGAGTACCTCGCCGTGCTCGTCATTAAGGCAGTGGTCTTCCAGGTCAGCGCGCTCATCAGCTGCCTCGCGTTCCCGGTTCGTCTGCTGCAATGGTGGTTCCTCTTCGTGACCGACCCGCTCGGTCTGGCCCGACGCGCGAGGGCGTGGGCGCTCGGTGTGGCTGGGGACGCCGTGGGCACTCTGACCGCACGTCTCGGAGGAGGGGAGGGTGTGGGGAAGGTGGCGCAGAGGATTGTGTGGGGGTCGCTCTGGGCTGCATATGTCTGCGTGGTTCTGTGTGCACTGCTGATTATGGCATTCGTGGGAGGGGGGCTCTTGGTGGGAAGAATTGTTGAAGAACCTGTTCAAGTGACGGAGACCCTGAATTTTGATTACACCAAACCTAGCCCAATGGCGCTTGTGCCGGTGCCGCGGTTGGTGCCCCCGAATCAGCGGATGCAGCTTGAGGTATCGCTGACACTGCCAGAGTCTGATTACAACCGGAGGCTTGGTGTTTTCCAGGTATATGTTTTGCAGGTTCTTGTGAAGCAGCTTTGCATGATAGTAATTCCCTTTGGGAAAAAAGTCATCCATTACTGAGAAAAGAATGACTTCTAATTGAAGCTTTATAAATGAATTGATGTTAATAATGGAGGCAGAACCACAGACACATTTTATTCGTAAGTTGCATAATATGCTTGATTAATGAGAAGATAAATTTGTCTACTCTATCATTCATTGATGGGTTCGACTTAAATGTTTGATACAAAGGTACCGGTTTGGAAGGGTCTTGGTTCTGTTTTATACTTCCATGACATGCATTTTCAATTGTAGACACTGCTTTAGGGCTTGCATTATATACACTCATTTATAAATTTCTCCTCTAGTTCTACTATGTTTATTATCTTCCAAGAACAAAAATATTATCTGAGTGGAGCTTTGTAAATAGAGTGATGCTAACTATGTAGGTAGAACCATGTTTCTGCATTTCATCTCAATTGCTGCATTTTGACTAATGAAAATATAACCTTTTTTTAATTTGATAAAGGAGAAGATAACAATTGTGAACCATGTTTTGAATTGAGGGGTTCTGCTTATTTTTTTTATGTAAAGATACCTGGAGTATAGGTGTTTATCTTCTGTTTTGTTCTGTATTTCCATGACCTGCATTTTCGATAGGTTACACTGCATTTTCACTTACATACTGAAGGACAATTAAATGATATCCAATCAAAGTATTGTAGATGACTTGATGCTAACAATGTTACGCTTCTGCATTTCATCTCATATTTGTATAGTGTCTTGAGACAACAACTGTGACCTCTGTTCTGCTTTGTGATGTTCTATATAAATGGCTGATTCACTGCACTTTTTTGGCTTGCATTCTGAACTGGACACATTATGACGGGGTTTTGCATTGCTACACTGGCTTATGAATTTTACCCCTGGTTACATTGATGATTATTTCAATCTAATGTACCTTTTTATGGTCTTTCTTAGGTAAAGGCAGAGTTTCTCTCTGCTGATGGCAAAGTGATCTCAACTTCAAGTCAACCATGCATGCTCAAGTTCAAGAGCGTACACATGCACTTCATAGAGACTTTTCTCCAAAGCGTTTCTCTTTTGTCCGGCTACTCATCGGAATCTCAGGTTATTAGACTGAAGATGAGGGGTATCGCCCAAGGTTTGGAACCTACAACTGCGGTAAGGATAATCCTAGAGCAAAGAGCAGAGTTTGGTCGTGGTGCAGGCATTCCAGAGATATACGATGCGTCACTAAAGCTTGAGGCTGAACTTCCTCTTTTCAAGAGATTACTCTGGAACTGGAGATGGACCCTTTTTGTTTGGAGCAGCATGGGGTTCTTTGTTTTTGAATTGTTGTTTGCACTTGTGTGCTGTAGACCTTGTATATTTCCCAGGAGTGGACATAATGTTGCTGCTCCTTAACATTGGGCTAACTCATGTAATGTAATGTACAATTCCAAAATAAATGAAAAGACGCCATTGATGTGGTACAATGGAACACCTATCACTGATGTTTTTGCACCAGATGATTAGTAGCACTGACAGAGTTGGCAAATAAATCTCGCACTGGCAGTGGTTGCGTTCATTCAACCCAACCAGTGCCAACTGTAGAGATACACCGGAGATAAATGTGGTTGATCTTCAGTGTAGGTGTGTAACTGAAGACATAAACAACGCAGGCACCAAGCAGCAAATCTTTGCAACCCCATAAAATGCACCTCCGTTTTCACACGCTTGTGAGGAGAGAGGTCACTGCCGAAACAAAAGGCCACAGAAGGATGTGGGACTGTGAACGTGTCGGCGTGGACGATGGAGGGATGGAGCAGAGCAAGGAATGGGAGGCGTCGGGGAGGATACCATCACGCCATTCCCTTGGCAAACTTGAGCAACATGACACTGGATTTAGCAGAGCTGCGATGTGGATGGGTCTGTTTGGTTGATGGCCTGAGGTAGACGAGCCTGCCGTAAAGCTTCTCTAGAAACTCCCGTTTCTGTCACGCTGCTGACCTTTGAAACCTTTGCTAGCATTGCCTAACCTGGACTACATGGCGTGTTTGGTTTATCTTTCTTCTCTAGCAGCGAACTTTTTCCATCCCCTAGCTAGCGTCCAGTCCCAGCTACAAACAACGAGGTAGAGAGCTTGTTCTACCATGAACTCGTCAGCACTTTTCGGCAGCTACAGCTAGTAGACCATTTGGCTGAGAAGACGAACTGAGAGGGTGCTTGGTTGTCAATATCATTCTACCCAGTTCTTTTTTAATTTGCGGAAAATGAGTTGACCTATCACCGTCATATTCCTTACAATCTAATAATAAGTTGATCTATCATCATCTCATTCCACTAAATTATTAACATATGGATCTATAATGTATTACCTCATCTAAAATGAATTAATTTTCCAAATCAAACATTCTATAGATTTGTGCGACAAGCATCCATACAGGATTAGAAGTAGGGCCGGATATCGAGCCAGCTCGGCTCGGTCCAGCTCGAGCTGGCTCATTAATATTGCGAGCTAGAGGGGCAGCTCAGCTCGGCTCGGCTCGTTACTGAGCTCGAGCTAGCTCATTTAGCTCGCGAGCTACTTAAAAAAAAGGATACACGCGTTTATAATGTTTATGCTACATTAATTTCAGAAGGTGATGTCCACCATTATGCAACCATATATGATTAATACATATAGGTTCATCAAAAGTATCAACCATGCAACATAACTGGTCCATCCATGATCCTACAGTTCCAGCATACTAACTAGTTGTTTGTCACCACAAACTGAAAGTTCATAGATTCAATGTCAACATCATTATCTTCTCCCTGGAAAACAATCCATAAAATCAACATTTAAGTACCACAACAATTATAAAATTAAAATTCACATGAAACAACTGAAAATGAGGATTTCATTCAAATAGAATAGTTGTACACTTCTAGGTCAGCATCATCATCTTCTGGATTCATGGTCGTGGGCTGATATGCCTCAGCTTTGTTTCATCTCGTGAGCAGCTCGCGAGTTGGCTCGAGGTAGCTCGTTAAAATAGCAAGCTAGACTTCTAGCACAACTCGTAAAAAAATTAAAACGAGCTGAGTCGAGCCAAGCTGAGCTAAGCCGACCACGAGTCGAGCGAGTTGATGAGGCGCGAGTATTTTGTCCGGACCTAGTCGGAAGGCCTTTCGGACAGCAATGAAATGAACGAGAACGATATATACTTAGGAAGCTGCTCACTTATGTTGGTAGTATTGATCTCGGCCATAACTGAGATTTGGCACATAAGACAGGTGCACCGAATGTTGTCGTAGTCAGGAGCAACCTTAAGTTACACTAGAAATCATGCGCAGCGTTGCCGCGCGGATAATCCTGTGTCGGGCCAGCACCAGCCTGCGATACTTCAGCCAGCCGCTGCAGGTGAACAGGACCGGATTCCATACACATTGTGTATAGCTTGGTTAAGGAAATCATTCTCAAGAAAGGATAATGGCTATATCAACTTGAATAGAGAAAAGGAAGTTCAGAATACGTGATAAGCCTAGATAGTATAGCGGTTCACAAGAACTCGTGATAACCAAAGAAGACATGTAAACATCTCATAGATCTGATTTTGTGTATATTGCAGTATATACGACGGACACCACTGGGCACCAGATGGAGATACAAAAAGGTGCTAGCATGCAATGGCTATATAACCCTTCTGTTCCAAGTCTGTCTTCTATTTCCATGTTCCTGCTTGTTGAATAGTCGCTGCAAGTGTGTAAAAGGGGAAAAATCAGAACATGTTTTTTTTTTGTATGCCTATACTGAGTTTCGATTATGGGCAGCATACTTTATGTTTGCTCAATCAGAACTATGGAGATTGGAGAATAGGATAAGCGTGATACATTTGTCTCATGTGCAAGGGAACTTTGCTAATATCATGTGGAACCGAAAGTGATGATGGAGCTTAAGCTATAACCTGGTCCAGCCAAAGATACTTTTTTTATTACTTATTTACCTTTTTATTTTTCACTTGTTAGTTTAGAAAATTAGAAGGTTTCAAATAAAGATGAGTTGAGTTCCAATTGGGTTAAATTTTGGTAGGTCATGGTGCACATTTTTTTCTCTTATATAGATACAAAAAGGTGCTAGCATGCAATGGCTATATAACCCTTCTGTTCCAAGTCTGTCTTCTATTTCCATGTTCCTGCTTGTTGAATAGTCGTTGCAAGTGTGTAAAAGGGGAAAAAAAATCAGAACATGCTTTTTTTTGTATGCCTATACTGAGTTTCGATTATGGGCAGCATACTTTATGTTTACTCAATCAGAACTACGGAGATTGGAGAATAGGATAAGCGTGATACATTTGTCTCATGTGCAAGGGAACTTTGCTAATATCATGTGGAACCGAAAGTGATGATGGAGCTTAAGCTATAACCTGGTCCAGCCAAAGATACTTTTTTTATTACTTATTTACCTTTTTATTTTTCACTTGTTAGTTTAGAAAATTAGAAGGTTTCAAATAAAGATGAGTTGAGTTCCAGTTGGGTTAAATTTTGGTAGGTCATGGTGCACATTTTTTTCTCTTATATAGAGATAACAAATTTAAACGAGCTTCTGTTACTATTGTTCTATTTCTATTGCTGGGAAGGAAACAGGTTATTACCTTGAGATATGTGATGGACCCTGACCTGGCCTCGTTGTTGGAATTTACCGGCAAAGATAATGTTTCGCTCTGTTCGTTTAAGCTTGTTTGGCTGATAAGCCATGGCTGCAAGTACTATTGGCTGATTTGTTGTGAGATAAAAATACTGTTCGTTAGCTGAAAAAGTACAGCTTATAAGCCAAACAAGCCCAAACGAACAGGCCGAAAGAGGGTGCTTTTGCTGTCCAGGGTTTGACCCAGGGGAGCCTGGTAGGTTGTCCTGCAAGAGCTCTTTCTTGCCAGTTCAGAATCCATATGAATCAGTATAAGCACAAAATAAAAAGGAATAGATGTCTAAGCTATTACCTATGTGTATGCAAGATGTAGGGAAGTTTATCGCGAGGTAGCTTTATATCCCCTTTTCTATAATTTCTTGACGATGGGCCTTGAAGTTGAAGCTAACAACACTGATTGAAGATTTGTTTTGTTTGTCAGTCCAATCGTACAAGTATTATGCAGTGATAATTTTAGCGTAGCATAACTTTCCAATGTGTTGCACATGACAACTGAGGCTGTGAGGTGGACTAATGTGCTATGATAGTGTCAAGGGCCTGGAGATCGTGGGTAGGCGGCCCGCGGCTACGTAGATCGTAGCCGTCAGCCGTGTCTTCCGATCTGGAGGTTATACCCCTCACGGTGATCGGGCTTGAGAGTCTTTGGGGAAGAGAGGGAGGTTTTAGGATAACTGATCTTTCTTACTTTATCAAATGGCCCTCGATCCATACATATAGTCTCTCGGGCTGTTGAAAAGGAAACTAACTAATCCTTGATTCTAGCTGTTGAAAAGGAAACTAACTAATCCTTGATTCTAGGGAAAGATAGCAATCAAATCTTCCTTCTTTCTATCCTAGCCACTGGATGTTCCCTGCGCATCGCGCAGCAGCTTGCTCGGGCGTCGTACCAACAAGGCCTCATGACCCGCCTCACGTCATGATTGCGCTCGACGACGGTAGCCGTGGGCTCCCCCATGACATCTCTCGCCCCCTCGAGACCCAGCTCGTCCTCGAGCTGGAAATCTGGATATGAAGCGCGGAAAGCGTCGAGGTCTTCCCAGGAGGCCGAAGAAGCAGGCTCGCCGCGCCAGAAGACCAGGACCTGGGTGACGCCACGTGCTAGGCGAGCCTGAGTGACTCGGTCGGGAGCTGGAAGCACCGCGCCATGCTGGATGTCCGGCAGAGGAGGTGGGGTGGCCGGTGGGGTGCCACTGAACTTCTTGAGGGTCCCGACGTGGAATACGTCGTGGATACGGGCTTGCGGAGGTAGCTCAAGCCGCACCGCGACCTCATTGATCTTCTCGATGACCCGGTAGGGCCCCAGGTAGCGGGCCTTCAGCTTGCCCGACGTGGTGCGGGGGAGGGACGTCGCCTGGCGCTGATGAAGACGCAGCAAGGCCCAATCGCCAACGGCGTAGGCGACCTGGCGATGATGGCGGTCGTAGTGCAGCTTCTGCACCGCCTGGGCTTGCTCCAGGCGATGGCGGACCTCGGCGAGGAACTCCTCGCGCTCCTCCATGTCGCGGGCCACAGCTGCGACACGGGTCTCGCCCGGCTCATACGAGCGTATGGTCGGAGGGTCGCGGCCGTAGACCACCCGGAACGGCGTCTCCCGAAGCGACGACTGGAAGGCCGTGTTGTAGACGTATTCTGCCCATGGCAGCCACCGGAGCCACTGGCGAGGGCGATCTCCTGTGAAACAACGGAGATACATGACTATGACGCGGTTCGCTGCCTCGGTTTGGCCATCCGACTGGGGGTGGAAGGCGGAGGTCATGTGCAGCTTGGTGCCCATGAGTCTCATGAGCTCACGCCAAAAGACGGACGTGAACACCGGGTCCCGGTCGGAGACAATGGACTGAGGCATCCCGTGGAGGCGGACGATGTTGGTGAAGAAGGCCTGGGCCACGGACTCGGCGGTATACGGATGCCCGAGTGCGATGAAGTGGCAGTACTTGCTGAAGCGGTCGACGACGGAGAGGATGACCGACTTCCCGTCGACCTTAGGCAGCGCCTCGATGAAATCCAGCCCAATGTCGGCCCAGACCATAGATGGCACTGGGAGGGGCAGCAAGAGACCCGCCGGCCGTAGATGCTCGGACTTGAATCGTTGGCACGTGGCGCAGTCCCGCACGAAGTCCTGGACGATGCGGCGCATGTTGGGGAAGTGGAAGTCGCGCTGCAGCCGGTGCCAGGTGCGCTGAACGCCTTCATGCCCATCGTCATGGATCGCAGCAACAATCTCCTGGAGCAGGGGCGATGTAGGCGGGATGT